GCCTTTGGTTCTGTAAACAGTAACCAGATGGTGACAACAACATCAGCTTCACATTGCCTGCTCCTCCACACCTGCTCATTATCTAGCAGAATCTCAGCAGGGCCAATCCATACCATTTTAATTCCGATCCTGTAAGCTGAACTGGCCATCACAAACATCACATCAATAACCTATCTTGTAACAAGAGATCCTTTAAACTTACTCCAGGTGCAGAAGTGCCCTGACCAATTCATTTGTGAACTCTCTCTCCTCAAGGTACGTTCGCTATTACTGTCAATGACATTTGTCAAGTCCAGAAAGTGAACAAGTTGCCTCACTGATTCTGGTTAACTGGTTGACTCTGACAAGAATTAACTGGTGTCTCATACTGCAGCTTTGACATTCTCCTCTGTCATTTGCCCAATAAATGAACACACCACAGATTTGGCTCCACACATGAAAGCAGTAATCAGATATCTCAGTTTCGCGCTTCACTGCTGATATAAAGGTAAGATGATGAGCAGAACCTTCAATATCAACTGTAGTCAGCTTGACGATGGATTGATAGGTACATTGATGAGAAATCAAAATCGACCATTTCACCACCAACCTATTGATGTGATGAAATGAGAATCACCAGTTGTGTCTCACAGACCATAAACTCACATGTCAGAGCTGCGGGAATAGGCCATTCAGCCGACAAGTATCCCACCACACAATGTGATGTCTGATCTCCTTCAGACTGCTTGTCGTTTTTTTACTCCAGCTGAGCATAGCTGTCAAATGCACAGTACTTGATAAAGAAATCTCTGAACCTCTTCTTTAACACTTTCATTGATCTCGCCTCCACAACTTCATGGGCAGAGAACTGCAGGCATTCATTACCCTCCAAGAGAACAAACACCTGTCCATTTGCACAACTATAGTCATTTGATCATTACGTTCAGAGGGCCAGGCTAATTTCTGTGGTCACAAGTGCAAACGCCGACATGTGAAAGCTCTTGGAATTCATTGTTCTAACTCATCAATAAAGCTGGATTTAAATGTGAATCCTAGTCACAACAGTCATGATACTATTGTTGACTTCTGTTCAAAAGAAAACGTACAATTCACTCATGACCTTCAAGGTAGGAAATCTGCCACTCTGAACTGGTTTTCTACATGTGTTTCCAGGCCACCACCAAAACAATCGCATCTTACTGTCCTCTGAAAATGGTCTAGCAAACCACACTACAGCACAATTCATAACAGAAAAACACCTTAACACCTAACTGTAGCAGTTCAAACAGGTAGCTTAGTAGCACCCTCCTGAAGAGCAAGTCGTGTTGGCGAACAAATGATGTCCACAATCCATCCACAAATTCGGGAGAAATGTCAACATTGTCCTTTCCACAGGGCTCAGATCCACCACTGTAATAGATTCATCCAAAACAATGCTACTTGAAGATGGATCTCCAATCATCTCCACCTTAGACCTGCAGTCAACTTTGTAGTCTGATTGACAGTCCCATCTCAGAGTAACCAACGTGCTGTTGCAATTCACAAGGGTTACGTTGGTCTTGGTATTTGATTCTGCAAATAGTAAACCGGATGTTGAGAACAACATCAGCCTCATACTGCCTGTTCCTCCACTCCTGTCCATGAGCCACGAGAAACTCAGCAGGGCCAATCCATATCATGCCAATTCCAATCCACTACATTGAACTGGCCATCACAAACATCATATAAAAGCCTAACTCCCTCCAAGAGGTCCTTCAAACTTACTCCAACATACAGAGCTTGTAAAGCCCTTAGACAATACAAATTTTTGAATAATTAAACCACCCCATTCTGATTTAGATTCTTTGCAGCTCCATGTAGCTGTTTGTTTAACAACTGTGTTATTGAATCATATGGATAAATTAACACCCACACATAATTAAGTAAAACAGGTTAAAAAATGATTTCTTACAGCTTGGAAAAATTGCAACCACAGCAGTCCAAACTTTAAGACTGAACCACTACACAGGACTTTTTTTTTTAAAAGAAAGTTACCCACTTCTGGAGTCAAGGGTGTAAAATAGTGAAACAAATCATACAAAGGTTAACATACCAATGAGAAACAGAGAAGGACATTCTCCCCTCCACAATTCAACATGATCATGGCTGAGGTTTGAATTCCACATTCCCATCAACCCCAATAACTTTTGATTTCCTTGTGTAAGAATCTATCCATCTCCACCTTAAAAATACTACCTTCTGAAGTGAAGCATTCCAAAGTTGCATAGCCTTCAGATGAAGCAAAAAATCTCCTCCTCTCTGTCCGAGAAAGTGTCATTCCTAACTTTTAAGTAGTTCCTCCTGGTTCTGGACTGATCCAGAAGAGAAACCATCCTTTCCACATCCATCTTGTCAAGACACTTTACGATTTTATGTACTTTAATTAAGTCACTCCTCACTCTTCCAAAATTCAGTGAAAGGAACCAGAGTCTGTAAACCTGTCCTCATTTTCCCCCCCAATTTTTATAGACACACCAAAGAAAGCACTCTCTCCAGTTGCATCACATTTGGTAAGGCAACTGCTCTGCCCAGGACTGTAGGAAACTACTGAGAGTTGCAAGCACAGCTCAGTCCATCACGCAAGCCAACCTTCCATTGTTAGCAAGGTTCGGTCACACAGAATACAGACAGAACTAGCCAATTGGATACAGAACTAGCTTGAAGGTAGAAGACAGAGGGTGGTGTTGGAAGGTCACTTTTCAGACTGGAGGCCTGTGACCAGCGGTGTGCCACAAGGATAGGTGCTGGGTCCACGGCTTTTTGTCATTTATATAAATGACTTGGAAGTGAACATAGGAGGTACGGTTAGTAAGAACGTAGATGACACCAAAACTGGACAGTGAAGGTGGTTACCTCAGAGTACAACAGGATTTTCATCAATGGGTCAAAGACTGGCAGATGGAGTTTTTTTCAGGTAATTGTGGTGTGCTGCATTTTGGAAAGGCAAATCGGGACAGGACTTATACACTTAATGGTAAGGTCCTGGGGAGTGTAGCTGAACAAAGAGACCTTGGAGTGCAGTTCATAGTTCCTTAAAAGGTAGACTTGCAGATAGATAGGACTGTGAAGGTGGTGTTTGGTATGCTTGCCTTCATTGGAGCCTCAGTCCTTCTTCAGGTGTTAGTGAGAGAGGTAGTAGCAGACACAGAATTTATAAGTAAAAGATTGCTGTATTCTTCCCTCTGTTCTATTGCCCTAACGCACTTTATAATGGAATGATCTGCCTGGACTGGATGCAAGACAAAGCGTTTCACTGCACCTAGGTACATGTGAAAATAAGAAATCAAATTAAACCATGAAACAAACCAAGCATTCCAGGTGTTAATTTTGCAAACTCCCAGTGAATTGCATCCAGTACATTTACATCCTTCCTCAAATAAGGTGACTAATACAGTGAACAGTATTTCATATTAAAGACAGTATTCCTTTAACATTTTTTGATTACTTGCTGCATCTGCACAGTAACATTTAGTGACTCATCTAGTACTTTTCAATTTTGTACTAACTTCCAATTTAAATAATACTTGGCTTTTTCATTCTTCCAGCCAAAGTGAGCAATTTCACGTTTTGTCACAGAATATTCTATACGCTAATTTTTGCATGGTCACTTAATCTATCTATATTGGTCTGCAACCTTCTTATGCCTTACTTGCAACGTAACTTGTCACTTATCTTTGAGTTAGCTGCAAATTTGGCTACCATGTCTTCACACTGTTTATGTAAGTCATTGATTTGACCGGTCAACAAGCTGTCATCCCAGCATAGATCTCTGCAGATTCCACTCGTCACATACTGCTATTCAGTAAAAGATCCATTTGTGAATACTGTGTTATCCATTCATGTTAGTAGGTGACTCCCTACGCCATATATTTCTACTTCGCATAAGCATCGTTTTTATGGCACCTTGTGAGTTATCTGCTGGAAATCCAAATACAGTACACCAATGGGCTCTCCCACATCTGGAGAGCATATTCATCACATATGTTACTCCTTCAAAACCTTCCAATTGTTAAACATACTTTCCCTTTCACAAAGCCATACTGGCCTTTCCCATGACCGTGATTTTTTTTTAAGTGCCCAGCTTAAACCTTCTTAATGATGATTCTAACATTGTCCCATCATTTCCTATTGTCTGGCCTCCCTCCCTTTTTGAATGCATGAGTTATATTTGCTGCTGTATAGTTCAACAGAACAATTCCAAAATTGAGCAAATCTTGGAAAATTAACACTCATTCATCCACTATCTCATTAACCACCTCTTTTAGGATCTTAGGCTGACTTGTCAGTCCATAGCCCCAGCAATGTGTGCAATACTGCTTCCCTGGTGATCATAATTTCAGCAAGTTCCTCTCTCCCATCCACCTCCTGACTTGCTGCTATTTCTGGATGCTTTTTTATTCTCCAGTGTGAAGACAAAAGCAAAACATTTGTTCACTTCATTTACCATTCTCTCTCTCCAGAAGTCCAACTTTCCACGAATATACCCTTCTCCTTTATATATGCCCGGAGAAACTCTTGATACCCGTTTTTACATTTCAAGCTGGTTTTCTCCAAGCAGAGCAGAATCATTCGGGTTTTCTATTCAACTTTCAGCCATAATATTTTGGCTGGGATGTTGGGATGGTTTAAAACACAACATGATTGGTGGATTGGAAAGAGGGTGCTGCCATATGTTCAGAGTGTGTAGGAAATCTGAACTAAACTGGTCAGACCCTCAGGTCAGAAAAGCAACTTTCCACTGACTGATTAAGCATATTGGTTGGTATGGAGGGAAGCTGCCTGCATCACTCTACTCCCAGATTCTCAGGCACACAGACAACCATGGTCATATGAATCCAGGATTAATCATCTGAATAACAGTCAATTAAAATCACATGCCTGTCCACTGGTGCAGAAATTATTGATTAGTTTAAATAAATTGAGAGGTGATATTTATCTTGTAGCTTCCATCCTCACTTGGGTAAAATGTTTTTGGTCTTAGTTTATACCTATCCTAGAACCTTGAGGAGCCAGGGCCTTCATTTAGTCACAGACTCATTATGCCTGATAACATTGACACGTGGCAGGCAGTACATTTGGGCTTATTCAACTAATTTGCAGGAAAAGTTGTCCATAGTTTCACCAAGACAAAAGCAGTGCAGTGTTCAGATCATAATTCGGAAATTATTCGCAATGGAAACTCAAAACTACCGAGCTTTACTTACGAGTAAACACACTTCTAACCACAGGAGCACTCTTTGTGTCATTATCATTAATAGTTGCTACACTGATGGTGTACTTGGTTCCAGGAAGTAAGTCAGTTATTGTGGTGAAGTTTGACACTTCTATTTTGGTTTCATTCATATCAGAAGAATTGTAGGTAATGCTGAAATTATACTGGGTGCCATTCATTTCTGCAGGTCCCTCCCAGGCCAGAGAGATGGAAACATTGGTTATGCTTGTCACCACGATATCTCCAGGCTTCATAATAACTGTTTAAAACAAAATTAGAATGTTATGCAAATCAATGTAATGACAGGATTCCATTTCCCTATTGCTAGCCTCCTGATTTCCATCCTATATGAACTCCAACTTATTCAAATCTCTACAACCAATCTGCACTTGTTCACTGTGTCTCATTTGCCTGTCACCAGTGTCTCTCTGTCCATAGAGCAGTTGAGTTCAAATCTTCATAGACATTTACAAATCCTTCTATTGATTGATGTAATTCTACCATTGAATCCCTTCCACTGTGATTCTGGTGTGTCATTTCACCCATCATTTTTGATCTCTTACGCTTTCCCTCTTCATTTTATGATGCTCTGAAATACTCCTGTTAAACTGCTCTACTTTACTACCCTTTTCCTGTCCCACCATGAGCATTTTGAAAACCTGTTTTTTCCCTAGGTATCTGTTAATGTCTACCAACTTCCATTTTTAATCTGTACCCTTCTTTTGCAATAAAAAAAAGGCTGAAATATTTTCTACATCAATGTTGTTTTGTAGATGGAGGTTCTTGTATCTGACTGTATTTTACAAAGGCCCCAAGTACATTTGAAGAATGATGAGGTTAGGATTCCCAATCCTCCTGTTTTGGACAGGAATCTAACGTGATTGCAGTGTCTGCAGCCTTTCCTCTGTATCCTATCTACGTTTCTTTTGGACAGCTGCATAACTTTCACTCAGAGATGTAGGCTAGAACTTGATTCACAGTTCCAGAATTCAATCACTTAACTCCAAGCACACTCATTGTACTCTGAAACAAACCCAAAATATTACAGATGTTAGAAATCAAAAAGCTAACTAAAAAATGTTGGAAATTCTCATCAGGTCAGGCAGCATCTACGGAAATAAACAGGGTAAATGCTTTTGGTTGAGATAATTTTTCATTCAACTGCTAACTCCAAGTAAAAAAATTGACCTTGTATCATTTAAAGCAGTAAGCAAAATAATCATGCTTTTGCATTTTTAACTAGATTTTATTTCGCCTCGCTTTGGGATTTATCACTAGAAGGATTGAGGAATGAATTGAACGAATTATCTATTCTGATTTTACAAGAATGGGATATGGAACAATTTATCTCATCACATAATTAAATCACCAAAATTATTAGTCATAGAGTCATTAGCATAGAAACATGTCTTTTGGCCTACTATATCTACGCTGACCACCAAACACCAAACCGCACTCGTTCTATTTGCAGATTATATATCCCTATGTTATAGCAAAGATTTCCCAAAATCAAATATGAGGAAACTGAGGAGAATGTATCTTTGAAAAAGGAGGGCTGACTGATCTAACATGGAGTCCATGAACAAAAAACAATTGTTTATCCAGTCATTTTAATCTCCTGTGAATTTGTATATTAAAAAAAAAATCAAAAACAAGAAACAAGTCCAATTTAATCAAATAAGAAGAACATTCTCTGGAGAAGGTCAGAGCTAAGACACAGGAGGGTGGGGTATTTTTGTAGCTAATAGTTGGCAAATCAGCCATAAAAGGATCAGGTGTTACAGTTATCAATTTTGGCTGATATGGACATAACAGCACTTTTAATTTTGTTCTGTATCTTCAGAGGCTGATTCTGAAGCAAAACGTCAACAGTTTACATCAGATACCATCTCAGTCACATTTCTCAGTTCAGGTGCTGAAAGTTTAAGAAAGTATGTATGGGATCCTGTGTGAGAAACATAAACGCATACTTAAAACCAAAAGCGGAGGTGCGTATGCTATTGTTGCACAACTAGGTTAAGCCACTGTGGATGAATTATTTCATTGTCACACGTATTTGAGAAAAGGCAGTGAAAAGTATTGTGTTGCCAATGAAAAGAAATTACTTAAATAGATCTTCATCTTCTGTTGAATGGACAGAAAAATAAAGCTCAACTTTGCAGCCATTCTTGTCAAGCACGGTTTTGGTTTCTTGAGGTCTTGCTTGTTCTTCTTGAAATGCGGCAAACCAAGGATGGGGGTTCATCCAGATATCACTCCAACCCATTCACCTCACTTTTTTGGTGGGAGTTATAAAGCTGTGGATATTTTCGGGGTCAGTTGGTGCTAGCCATACCTTAAGTGGCTCAAATATCTTTGGTGGTCACATTGCTCTATGTCTAATTACACGATTATGCGGTGCCGGCATGGCAGGTAGCCTTCGGTTTCCTGAGCCTGTCCACTCCAGGTCGGCCGTATCCGTCTTTTCTTTCCTTTTCATCCATCTCCTTCTTATTACCGAGGTGGAAGCTGCAGCTTTGCCTCACGGTAGGCCCGGGTCAGGACTCCTAATGGTGTTGGCGGGGTGACGGCTGCAGTGTTGGCTCAGGCCCTAATTTGTACTCCTAACGATGTTGGCCAGTGATCCCTACCAATGGGGAATGCTGCCCAGAGACCAGAACACTGTTTTCCCAAATACGTGTGACAATAAAATCATTCATCCACAATGGTATAACCTCGAAGCGTGACAATGGCACACGCAGCCCCCACTTCCAGTTTTTAAGTGTAAGTTCATGTTTTTCACAAAAGACCCTGCGCATACTTCCTTAAACTTTCAGCAGCTGAACTGAGAAATGTGACCGAGATGATATCCGATGCAAACTTGTTCATGTTTTCTTTTAGAATCAGCCTCTGAAGGTACAGAACAAAATGCAGTACAATGTCCCAAGCCACTTCACAGGGGATTTGTCAAATACAATGTGACAATTGGTCATACACGTCAGTGGCTTTCAGTTCAGGTGAGCAAAGTGCTAAGTTTTAAAGGTCAGTATTACTGCTCAACTGGGAGGAGTGAGCCACAATTATGAGTAAGTGCTGGTAAATAGGATTTGAATAGCTAGGTGGTTGTTTCTGACCAGTGCAGGGCCAAAGGGCCTTTTTCTGTGGTGTAGGCCGCTCTGACTCTGAATAATGGAGTCCCCCTATTCCAGAAGGCATCATAAATGTGAAAATAATTGAAACCATCAAGGTATCAAATTAGCTGATCCATTGCGAAACAGCACAAAGGAAATTCACACCACATTTTGTTATGAAAAGGGTAATAACTATTTATTGTAAATACACTTGACTTTTTGATCAAATGATCAGAAGCCCAGTCCACGAGGGTGGGATGAGTTGTCTCTCAAAGTTATTTTGATTTTAGCAACGATGACATGGTGTTGTCTGTTGAACAATGGTCATTCTTTGGTTCAATAGTTAAATTTCTTCCGTTAGTTCACTTTTTAAGGGCCCTTGGATTTTTAAAATTGTTTTATCACTCACAGAGAGATAAGGGAGTGAGGCATTGTCAGTTTGCTGGATTTGGATGTTTCTGCCTGCACTGCTCTCTCAAGTGAGCAGCAAATTGCAAGTCAACCAATCTGAGGGCTGTTGTCAGTCATTTTTTTCTCTTCACTCAAAAACATTTGGTGTCACTTGATCACAATAATACAAGTTTCATTGCTGCAAGAGTAACATAACGTAATGCTTATTTTTGGCTGTGCAAGATTATTTTTCAAGTTGCAAATCATTCCTGGTGGTTTAGCTTTATACCAATGTCTGATTTTTCATTGCCATTTACGGTCAGTATTAAAAGCAGAGAGAGAGAGAGAGGAAACAGACATAGTAAGGCTGAGACATCCCAGAGCTATGGTACAGTCCTGAATGTAATAAAATGTCCCAAGATATTTCAATCAAAATTTGGCAGTTTAAAACTATGCTGTACCACAGGCAACTCAGCACCATAGAGGCAGAAATTGGTGCAAGTTGGGACGGGGTAGCAGAGTTCTAAGTGAGCTCAATTTTATGGTAGCACAAAGTGGGAGGCTGGCAAAGAGAATGTCGGCAAAATTTAATTTCCCTTCTGTTCCATTGGGAGCAGAATGTCCCAACTATCATGAGGCTCCATCTTGCCATAGATTTATCTGCCTTCAATTTGCAAGCTGCACAGAAAGTCTACATAGGGTAGACGATGGCAAAAATTAAATGTTAAATACAAATTCTCCACATTTGTTCCCTTGCCAATAATTGTATGTGGCGAACCCAGATAACAATGCAAAACAATTTTGTGAATGTAATTTGTTGAATCTCCAGCAGATGTCAGTAAATCCTTTGCAGCTGCCAGATGACCCCAACTCAAGGCGGCACAAATAGCTCTTACAGACCTCAGACTGCAACCCTGCACAATCCAAGACGTATGTTAAATATTATAGCTTGATCTACTGCAACATATTTTGTACTTCAAAGTTTAATTTTAATGGATTTTTTGTCCCCCCGATCAACCTGTTCAGAGATGTCATTACACATCTTTGGATCAGGTGGGACCTGAAGACAGGAGTCCTGGCCCAGAGGTAGACATACTACTAATGTGCCCATGAGAACTCTTTAATTTTAAACAGATAATGAAATACTTAATTTGAAAGGAATTAATAAACCAAACAGAACAAAGAGTTCAAAACTCCAAAAATGTTAGAGCATTCAGCTTGCTACATATTTACTTTTTGTTTCTTCTATGTTCCTACCCTGCCCATTTCCTTCCTTTGGACTAATCTCCAATTACCCATTATCCTCTGGAAGTAACTTCGCTGACTCTCGGCCAATTGCTTCACACTTATAATGCTACACTGGATATCACATGCAATCCCGTGGAAGCTTCTGGATTAACCCTTACTCCTTGAATTCTTGAACCCTGTTTTAATCCTCTGCTGCAAGATTTACTGCTGTTGTGGCAAGGCCAATGGATATTATTTTTGTTAGATACAGGCATTAAGGCATAGAGAACAAAGTCAGGAAAATGGAAGCAAGAGGCAGTTCAACTATCATCTGTTTGGATGGGGCAACAGGCCCAAGGGGCTGAGGAGCCTCATCTCTTATTGTGAAACTCCTAGACATCGAACTTATTCTTTCAGCGGAAAGATGTGGCCCTGGTCGTTGCCTTTTCATGGGGATTTGTTTTTCAATTCTTGATTTTATCGGAGTAGTTTTTCGAGAAGTTCATCAGCTTTTGCTGTTTTATTTTGGAAGAATGACATCTATATCAGATTAATCAAATGAACAACAAATACGATTACTAATGGAATTCAACAAGATACTTACATTCAGTAGTGAGGATACCCTTGAGGGGGAAAAAAGAAAGAGAAAACAGAAAGTTAGATGACTTTGAATTTCTCGTGACTCTGTTGAAGATCCTGACTCTTGCTGGCTTACAGTTCCTCAGGCACTGATAGCCAGTCTCTTGATACTTTGTGAACTTAAACTTAACATTAAAGATGATGACCATTCTATTCTCATCTGATAATTATATATTCTTCAGCTGGATTTCCTAGATAGCATTTGAAAGCATCAACCCCCACCAATTCTGTTTCCTTTTGACGAACTCTGGGTGCCAAGTGTTAATTCTACTGCCATCCCGCCATGGTCATTGGCATTAACTAAGTAAACTCATCGGATTTGGGACTTCCTCGATCCATATGGCTATAGATTACACAATAATGTCCTTAACCACTGATTCATCGGACCGTACAAAGATCCTTCATATTGATTCTCGTTTTGTTGATTTAACCTCACTGTGCTTTACTTGGAAGTGATGGCTTTTGCTGGAATATGGGAGTTTCAATTTGCATTTAACAGCCAGCTCTCCTTCAGTGATACCGAGTGATCAGAGTTTAAAGGACAATGGGTGCGATTTACCACTTCTGTAACTTCAGTATGGGGGGGGGGCACAGTGTGTGGCAACTAACACGATGCCCCACTGCCAAAAGACAACTTGTCTAATGACACCTAATTGCTGGGTCCTGAAGACCAGAGGATTGAGCAGTGAGAAGCTAAGTATTTCTTTCTCTCTTCTTTTGAGGCAAAAAAGTAAGCATGGATCAATCACTGAATTGTTCATGAAGACGAGATAAGAGAACATTTGTCAGAAGTTGATCAGTCAATTTTAAAATTTTTGGTTTTGCAGGTTGGCGCACGTGTTATTGTTCTGGCTGCTTTCTCTCAAACTTGTGGCCCTTACACTAGTCCACACACAAGGACATCTCACCAGTAACTTACACAGACTAGTGTTGCAGACTGTTTCTAACCCTTTTTCTTGTACATTTATGGTGGGTGTAACAGACATGACTAGAGGTGGATTTCTGTTGAGATGATGAATAGCCAGCCCAATGCTCTCCCAGTTTGGAATTTCTCTGACAATTCACAGCGTACACGTTACATAGGCTGTCAAAGGCTTTGGCATCTGCTCCATTGAGGTAGAAAGAGTCAGAGATGAGCCCAGTTTCACTGGCTCTGGAAGTCAGTGCATGGGGAGGCATGGTGGCTCAGTGGTTATCACTGCTGCCTCACAGCGCCAGGGACCCTGGTTCGATTCCGACCTCAGGCAACATTCTCCCAGAGTCTGTGTGGGTTTCCACCAGGTGCTCCAGTTTCTTCCCACAGTCCAAAGATGTGTAGGTTAGATGGGTTAGCCCATAGCGTTCAGGGATGTGCAGGCTAGGTGGGTTAGCCATAGGAAATGCAGGGTTACAGGGATAGGGTAGGGGAATGGGTCAGGGTGGGATGACCTTCCGAGGGTCGGTGCAGACTTGTCGGGCTGAATGGCCTGTTTGCACACTGTGGGGATTCTATGATCTATTCTGAGTGATCCAGGCACTTCAATGCTTAAGATCTGTGGAGAGAAATCAGAATTATCGTTTCGGGTCAGAGTTTAAAGGACAAATGGATGGGGTTTACCACTTCACCCTTCACTCGACCTGAAATGTTAACTCTGACTTCTCTCCAGAGATGCCGCCAGACCTGCTGAGCTTTTCCAGCAATTTTGGATTTTGTTTCTGATTTACAGCATCCACAGTTCTTGCAGTTTTTATTCAATATTTAAGATTATAGTCTCCACCACCACAAGGGGGGACATCCTACTTCCCCATGCAAGACAAGCCCAGAGAAGCAGGTACACTGACTGGCCATCCTGGAGACAATTGGCCAAGCTCTGGAGGCAGGAGAGATTAGATGCAATGAAATGGAGGCTCTTTATTGGAGGGAGTGTGGGGGCATGGGCTGAGGATGTGCCTCTGTAGGTAATGGATTGCCCAAGCAGAACAGACCATCCAAAGTCTACAGACAGATCACCAGAACATGCGTAAATTTCTCACCAAATAGCATGGGGACTCCAACTGCCAATAAAATATGATAGGAAGCCCTTAAGTAGCCACTTAAGAGTTTTAATCAGGACAAGGCGGTAGACAGGCAGGATACCTGACCCTATTCTGCTGCTTGTAAAATACAGAGGAGTTTGGGAGCTGACGGACCTGCCTATCTCAATATATCCCACACTATTTTATGTACCTCCTCAAGCCCCCTTACCCCTCATACGCTAACCAGCCAACTTCAGCGTGTGCAAACACCTGAATGATATTTTCTTATTGACGTTGGGGTCTAAAAAGATATTCACAATAATGTTACTGGACTAATAATCCAGTGGTCAAGACTAAAATTCCATAAATGTAAGTTGAAATCTCACCACAGTAGCGTTTTAATTAAATAAATCTAGATCAAAATGCTGGATCTCAGTTGCATTTTCTGTGAAACAATGAGATTGTTGCAAAAACCCATTTAAGTTCACTGCTGCCCATGAGAGAAGGATATCTACCTTCCTCATACCGTTGACTGACGCATTGCCTGGGACTTTTCCCACTGGAGTGTCGGAGGTTGAGAGGCGTCCTTATAGAAGTTTATAAAATAATGAGGGGTACAGATAGAGTTAATGGTAGCTGTCTTTTCTCTCAGATGGAGGATTTCAAGACTTGGGGTCACATTTTTAAAGTGAGAGGAGAAAGATTTAAAAAAGACATGGAAGCAACCTTTTTGTTTTTTTACGCAGAGGGTGGTTCACATGTGGAATCAACTTCATGAGGAAGTGTTGGATGTGGGTACACTCACAACATTTAAAAGACATTTGGATAATTACATGAACAGGAAAGGTTTGGAGGGATATGGACAAGTGCAGGTGGGTGGGAGGGGCTAGTTTAGTTTGGGATTATGTTCAGCACAGATTGGTTGGGCTGAAGAGTCTGTTTCCGTGCTGTATTACTCTAAGCGATACGTGGTTGACCCTCAACTTATTTCTGAAAAACAGGAACAAAAACAGAAGTTGCTGGAAAAGCTCAGCAGGTCTGGCAGCTCCTGTGAAGACAAAATCAGAGTTAACGTTCTGGGTCTGGTGACCCTTCCTCAGAACTCCCCTGATATGTGCATACTCTCAATTCCCTTCAAACCACCTAAACGAGCAGGGAAATTTGAAAATTTCTCTCCAAGTTCCAGGTCATCCTCATGTGGACATATATTACCATTCCTTCACCGTCACTAGTCAAAATCCTGGAACCCCCTTTCTACATGAACTGCAGCAGTTCAAGAGAGTGGCTCAGCAGCACCTTCTGAAGGAATTAGGAATCAATAATAAAACACCTCATCAGAAATGCGCACAACCCACAACCAAATTAAAAAAAAAACCAAACATTGACATACTGTGATTCAGCTCTGGAATCATCAACCATTATTTCGTATAAATTTGTAGATATATTACAAGCAATATTAATATAGACTGTCGACACTAAAACCAAACAAGCTGTGCAGTGTTGTACCATATCCATTTGGAAAAAGCTACTTGACAGTCATATGCCAGATTCCACCACCTTTTCTAAGGATGCTTACCACTGCTTATGAGCATTGGCATCCTCTGGTATTCAAAGGCTTTCAATATCTTTAAATCTCTCAAGTACTTAATTCCTTATAAAACTAAAGTTAAGAATTACCTCTGAGCCATCAAGCAGCTTGTGAATTTACAAATGCCCTTCCCATTATAATAATAATTGCTGAAGAAGTCAGCCAAGCAGTAATGATAATACTTAAGAGTTCTGTCAATAAATGGGTATTACAAATATACGAATTGATCTTTTTTTCAAATTCTCTCAAACACTGGCAGAAACAGAGTTTGCCAAGATCCAGGGAACAGAAGTAGACTGGGCTCAGAGAGCTATTCTCCAAGCTCAGTCTTGTACGGAGAAATCACAAACCCTATAAAAGCAGGTAGAGATAACCTTGGGGTCATTCCCAAGAAAGTGGATAACTATCAAGAACTTGATAAGTTGCCAAAGACTTTCTAGTGGGTGTATTGATGAAAAAGGTAATTTTGGAATATTATCTGTGTCTTTTACTGGGAAGACTGATACAAGATATTTATTCAATTCCCCTGCCATCTCCTGGTTCTGCATTATTATTTTCCCCAGCCTCATTCTCACAGGGACCTCTGTTCACTTTGGCATCTTTCTCTTCCTTTTTCTGTATTTAAAGAAGCTTTTGCTGTCTGTCTTGATATTTATGCTCAAAGTTTATTTTCTTCCTTTTTTTTGGTTGTATTTTGTTGGTTTTCAAAAGTTGCCCAATCCTCTGGCTTACCACTAATATTGTACTTTTTTTCCTATCAATTTGATGTTAGCCTCATCTTCCATGGTTAACCACTGTTGGTTTATCCAAGTCCTAGACTAATTCTCTCTCATTGGGACATATATTTGCTGTAAACTATCAAGTATTTTCTTAAAAGTTATTTTTCAGCTGTCTTTGCTATTAAAATCCACTCCAGCTAGCTCAGCACTCATTCGTTTGTAATTACCCTTATTTAACTTAGTACAGTTGTAAGCACATATGTTCCTCTCTCCCAAACTGAAAGCCAAGTTCTATCAGGTTATGGTCACTGTTTTCAGGGAGTTCTTTCACTCTGACATCACCTATTAAAACTTAGTTCATTACACATCACCAGATCTAAAATATTCTGATCTTTGGTTAGATCCACAACATATTGTAACAGGGACAAAAACACTAAGTGCTGGATGAAATTGAAGTGCGTCTCTCAGCATTTTCTGTTTTTGCTTCCATTCTCCAGCATTATTATAGGAAACTATTCTGGATACATGCATCTACCTCTGCCAATTTGATTATCCCAATCCACAAGATGATAAAAGTCACCCCTTATTAACCTCCTGCTTTTTTTTTTTAAGATGCCGTTATGATGTCCTGTTTTTCCCTCGGTCTGACTGAATAGCTACGGTTAGGGGGCCCACAGA